ACAAGATGGACTTCAAAAATTTCAGGCCTCATGGGTTTGTTTCAAAAAAATATGTTGGTACAAATTTATTTAGCTTTGTTTGTACAGGGTGTGAAACACTCGAGAGTAAGTCACAATTCTATGTAATATTTACTGATTTTAAAAAGGCTTGTGACAAAGTTAATCACGATGTACTATTAACAAAGTTGAATGAGTTTGGACTCTCTGATATTTTGTACTACAAAAAATATCGTATCTATCCTGACTACAAAATAGTTAGAACAACACATTAAGAAATGCATTCAGAATATTGTCTCTGGACAATAGAAGAAACCAAAATATATTAATATTTCTATTCGAAATACTGAATCATGAAGTCAACTCTTCTGACCTTCTTACACGGATATCATTTAATGTGCCAGCAAGAAGAATGAGAAATTCTCTTGCATTCCATATACCCCCAGTTTGTACTACTGTTAGGTCATCGCTCATAATCATATTGCGACTAGCAAATTCATTCAATTTATCAATGGATATAGATTAGACAGTTTTATTGAGCGCTTTAAAAAAATTCATTACACAGTACATAAGAAACTTCAATTGAGCATGTATTAGATATTAGACTGTAAGCCATACAAATGTATCAATTCAAATTTATATTTAATTTTTTTTCATTCATGTTATAAGGCATCGTAGGCCTGTTTGAGTGATGAATAAATAAATAAATAAATATTCGTTTTTTTATTTAGTATTTCTCAATGTACATAAACGAGAAAACAATGACGAAAGAAATATTTTCTACGTTCACTGGCATATTTTATAATGCCAACTCAAAAACTACAGTGCGAAGAAATTGCGTTGCTTTGTAGCATACTTTTCATCATCTCGATACGAAAGAATAATATTGCCCAAGAACATAAAACAGCCTTGTCACACTAGCGTGAATATGAATGGTCGGTCACATCCTCTTTCAATCCAGATTTATCATTCGAGCTTTCGAAGCTGCTCCAGAATATACACATACGTTACAAAACTTCGCGAACACTTGTTGCTTTCTCATCTACGCTCGATGGCTTTCAGCTCTCGGCTCTTTTGCCGTAAAGCTGTTTTATTTATTTGCCAATTAAAACTTGAACTCAGTGTGTAACAACTTATTTTCAATTGCCGGAGTGCAAGTTTTTCAATATATCAATGTGATTCATTAACATGTTTGCGGATTCAGTATTATATAGCAGGGGTATACTCCGGAAGATTTAGGTTAAAGAATGGGAATGTTTTTTTGTTATTATGATGTTAATACGGTCTTTCAATCTGTCAAGTCTATCCTTGAATTATATTTTTCGATAAGAATTAAGGTTAATTATGAGATTTAAATGAGCATACCTTTTTACCAGATGTTCACAACAGCCATGGTTCAATCCATAACATTTAGTTTTTCCACTTGCAACATTTAAAATATATTCTAATTTGGTAAGAAATGAATAGTCGCATAAATAAAACCAACATCAGTTGAACAGTCAATAATTCAGCAATTACCAATTCAATATTCACTGAAAGGTTTTACACCTGACCTCTATATTCCTCATATTCCAGGACTATCTGAAACCGAATGTGCAATATTAGATGTTGTTTTGTTTAAATATGTTTAAAATATGTTTTTTCCGTTAACCAGCTGTCGCACCCCTACGAACGACAACCCTCCGAAGTCGAAACTTGCGCGAGCTAAAGACTAACAAGGTCTTACCTTTCAACGTGTGATTCCTAACATGAGTTGGACGATAGCAAGTGCAAATCGAGCGTTCAGCCTGGGGCTTGAACCATCAACTCACACATCGGCCGAACCTCACCCACGTCGAACCTCCCGACTACCTGTAGTACAGGTTGTTCTCAACCTGTACTACAACGAATTTCACAAATGTGAACAAAAATCAACCGACCTATTGAAAAATACTTTATTATGCGATTATAAATTATAGAAACTCCATTTCAATATTATATGTTGATATTGGAACAATAAAAGTAGTGAAAAGCCAAAAGAGGTGATAATTTTTTTTCCTGTAGTAATAAGTCACCTCACAAAGATATATGTACTTTCAGTTCTGTCTTATTTGAAAAAAAAAATATAAAAAATTTCAACCGAAGTTGATGTAGAAATGTCCAGTATGGATTGTTCTTATACGCAGTATGTAATAATGTTAATTTCTATTGCTTATCGATCCCTCGCCTTGGTAAATCATGCCTTTCGACTTTATTATTGTGTTTATAATTGGTAATTGTTTTCAACATTCTTACATTATAGTTTGATCGATTGCCATCATCAACGTTGTCTATTATTTACGATATTACTTTATTATTGTTAAACTGCCATGAAATAATTCGTGCGATACTGTGACGTTCATCTCAACCAGGAAACTAGTTATATTTTCGAGAAATGAATTCGCAATGACGTGATTTAAAATTTTAATCCACTTTATTCCTCATGAGGTGCCTATACATATACATTTCCATAATCTCGCTCTTTCAAATTTTACATATGTTTTTTTCTGTACGTGTAACGGTCTGTCTGTTAAGGATAACTCACTCTACCCATTTTAATGTTTGAAATAATGGTCATATGGTAATTGGAAAACTACCACAAAATTCAAGTAAGTATCGCAAAATTAAAACTAACGCTCGAGGAACTAAATTCAAGCTGCCTCACGAGCCGAAACGGTACGCGTAACAAAGAAAGCTTGCGAATTTTTTCAGTTTTGTTTTACGTAGAGAAACACTTAGAAGGTTAAGGTCACATTTTTGTTTTGTGTTGTCTTTAGATAGATATAGCTACTTATCCATTTCAAAACTAAAATCGGTAGATGTAAACACGATTTTTTAGTAAATTCTATCAACGGTTATTATCATTAGTTACGAACTGATGTGAAACTTTCCTGCCACCCGTGCGAAGCCGTTAGGTCGCTACAGCCAGTCCAGAAATGAGAGAAACTACAGCAGTATATCTACATATGTTTGAAAAAATCTGTTCAAAATCTGTTTTCCGGTAATCAGCTGTCGCCCCCATACGAACGACAACTCTCAGAAATTGAGAAACTTGTGCGAGCTAAGGACTAACGAGGTCTTACCTTTTAATTGTGATTCCTAACACGGTTGCAGAATGATCCCAGCTTCAACCAGATAAATTATCTCGAGAAAAACATCTGAAATATCTGAAAAATATTCTTCAACAAATAAGTATTTAGGCGGTATAAATAGATATTTCTTTTAATTATACCGTCAACAGACACACTGCACCCATCAATAGGGCCGACTTGGCTTTTTCAATAAGAAGAAAATATTACATTATTCTCTATTAGGAGTTTAAAGGCCATGGTAGAGGGGTTAGTTAGTCTTAGTCTTAGTGATATTCTTCAGTTTACTTCGAGAGCGCGTTGAATAAAAAGCTATACAACATGGAAGCTAGTTGTTCGGGAACCGTCAGCGTTAAATATAAATGAAAAAACAATTGTTATGAATGTTTATAATTCTTTGAAAAACAATATCCGCCCGAAATGAAAAGTGAGGAGGAAGTAGTGCAAAAATGCCCGAGTATGACCGTTGTCAATAGATCGACAATCGTTAGAATTCTTAAGGAACTCAAGGAAAACAACAGCTTTTTGGAGACGAAAGTATCCACTGGCAGAAAGTGTTTGGTTGTCGACGAAGAAGTCAAGAATTCTATTGTTAGAACATTAAATGAAATTTGGTCAGTTATTCGTGAATACAGTTTTTTTCCTGGTATAAGAAGGTTTGGTAAGACCAGAACATAAAAACTCTAAAATACGTCTCTCAGTACAGCCATACTTTTTGACTTCTTAAAAATGGCTTCAAAGTCGAAGTCGAATACAAAACTTTGAGCGCGGTTCAACCCGAAATTCAGATGTTCAAATTTCTAACTGCGGAAACATATTCCATTTGTATACTTATCTGGTGACGTTTCGAAAACTGTATCCATCGTCATTATCTGTTCACGATCAGTTTGATAATATTAGTGTCAATAATAATAATATCAAATTGATTTACATCAAAAACGAATTATAACTACAAATTATAATTTTTTGATTTTAATAGGTTGGATTGAAAAATGGATAGTCTTCATGTATTTATATATGCAAAATTTCATAAATTCAAGTTACTGACAGATTCGATTTTTATTTAAAAAGTCAGTTTATCGAATGCAGTTTTGCATTTGTATTCATTTTAAAATTTATTGTTCTGATTGGTCGGTCGGTCGGTCGGTCGGTAGCCAAGCGGTTCGGCGTGGGTGTTTTGTTCACTCACTCGAATTGACTGCCGTGTTGGTCGGTGGTTCAAGCCCTAGTCTGAACGATCGATCTTCACTTGCTATCGTCCAACCCGTGTTAGGAATCACACGTTAAAAGGTAAGACCTCGTTAATCCTTAGCTCGCACAAGTTTCGACTTCTGAGGGTTGTCGTTCGTAGGGGTGCGACAGCTGGTTAACGGAAAAACAGATTTTTAAACATATTATTTTATATATTTGTAAAAGGTAACAAACATAAATAAAAAACTATTTCGAATATAAATTGTCCGTCTCAACATAAAATATTTAAACAAAATTCCTTATCACGATATTTCAGTTATCTTCGCATCATATATAGAATATATCACTGTCTTTAACGCAATATGAGAAAAAGGGTCGGCCGCCTCTTTTGACGTTGTTTGTCGCAACTCAATATTTTAATGGCTCGTTAGCGGCGTCATCAAGGGGCAGAGCGGATAGAAATATCTCAGTGAATTTGTGGATGAATTGCAGTTCCACTTGCTTGAGACGACTATGTTGCTTTCTTTGATGAACCGGCACGTTTGCATTCTTGAAATTCTTTCACTCTCAGACATTTCTCGATAGACTTATAGTAAACGTATAAATAAACTCGATCTATTCATGCCTGCTTTTAACCCAAAAATTATCAAAAATCGAATGCCTGTAGTGAATAATTCAGATGATGATGGTGATTTTTTTTTTCAGATCGAGCCCCAAGCGAAGTCCCTCTGGTATGTCGAGATTCCTTTCCCGGCTCGCTCACTACCAATGGAGGTATGTACATTTTTTCTGCCATCGAACATACTACTTCAGAATTTTAACGAGACTTCGTCACAATCTCATACTCCAAGTTATACCATAAATTTAATAACTTGTGGTATGTGTACAGCATTTCGAAGCCGTAGATTAGATAACATGAGCAACAGAAATAATAATTGCTTTCGCTTTAGATTCGTGATTGCAGTAATTCATTAATTTCATTAAAAAACGACAACAATTAATGCATAGCAATTAAGTTGTCCTGTGCTACAATTGCAACTTGGTGGGTAACTACTTCTGCACTGCTTGACGTTTTCATAAATATTCTTAGAATCTTATATTTTTTGTTCATTCGTCAATGCTTGAATAGGGCCGTTTTTATTGTTCAACGTGATGTATGGAATCGTAATGAACATAGAAAATTCATTTGGTCCTCAAAATTTCAAAGAAAATTATTTTATTTAATATTCTTTCATTCGAAACAAGCACTCACCAATTTGGCTTCTTCATGGGATGAAGAAAACTTTGATGTTTTGGAAAAGTGCTTCTTCATCTCCTGATGAAGACGCCAAACAGCGGACAAATGTTTCTGGCTTATTGACCGCCATCAGTACGGGCAAGATGGTCATGCAGGAAACAGCACACGATAGATTGAAATTTAATGAGTCAACTTTATGTTTTACTCTTTCAACTGGATAGGCAATAATGATACATGGTCTCCATGTAGAAGAAGACCTGGTTTCTTTTTGTTTGGGCATGTGCATCTGTGTGTTGAAATACATCATTGCATCAATTCGACATTATTTAAGGTTGAGTACCCTTCAAGGCAAATAGAGGTATAGTTAATGTTCCCTTTAGAATTGATTCTTCATGTGCCTTGTATAGACCTTATTTTTCCATTCGATAACGCTCGAGGATATCGTAAATCGATATAAACTAAATACGTTTTAAAGGAATCGATAATCTGAATTTTGTTGAATAATATAAAAATATAAAATCTCCACAGCCAACTAACAGTTTGTAGGTGAGCGTACATGACATCATAAGTGGCAGTGGCCGCTCTCTCTAGCGGGCCCCACTCAAGGTGACCAACAAGAAGTCCCGAAGTAGCCCCCCTTGGCCTCTTCAGACCCTCGGGCTGGTCTGCTAGGGCGTGGTTTCTTTCACACACATCCATTTATTAACTTAACGAATTTTTCCTCAACTTTTATTCGTAGTTTTTCTATGTACAGAAATGACTTTTTTTCTCCTGTTCAATAGATTAGAATTCAATGACACCACGTTAGGTTTTGTGATTTGATCTTGATGATGTAATATATTTGGTTTTTATACCAGGTATACCAACCAAAGAAGTATTAACGGCGATGAGTATAAGTAAATTATACATCATATTGACAAGGCATTACGTTAAAAAAAATAGAGAGTTTTTCACTTCATATTTCGCTAGATCTTGTCATATTTCATTAACTACATGGCGTTAGTTGATACTTCACACATACACACTAATTTTGATAATAGATTTATCTCAATACTGATTTACTGATTTATAAAAAACAATATCTGCACAAAATATGAGACGAATGAAATCCGTTATGACTTTTTTTATTCAGTAAATATAATTGTCAATAATATTACAACATACATTTTTCACAATACAACAAAAAGAAGGAATAAGAAATAGTTGGACAATTAAAAATTGATAGCCTTACATGATCCAAGTGTAAGTCTAATCGATTTCAATTTCATGCTAAGATCTACAAATAATGTTGTAATTTATGATGACCTTTTCAGTAATTCACTAGTTGAAATCTAGAATAGATCAGAAGTTTCAAGTTCTACTTATCAACCTATTAGCATGTCTAATAAGGTAGATTTTCATGTCACGTAAGCGGTCTAAATAATTTTTGGCATACTAGTTCATTATTGTTTTTATTATTTAGTTAATAACTATAGAACAACATAGAAATACGACCCCTCGTTTCAAGGAATATGTGGAACAAGACTCCCAAAATATCTCAGATATCTTTTGGAAGGTTTACACCTAAACAAGGGATTTATTCCAACATACACCATTCTCCAAACTTTTTGTAGACTTTTTATCTAACTACTTTATGGGAATCTTGCTAGCTGTATCTGTCAAATTCGTTAAAAGTGTTTATAAAAAATAAACAAACCTTCAAAATTCCTTCTAGCTTACTTTTGGGTCTCCAATCAAGCGGAAGGCTCTTTTATTGATAAATTCCTTGGGATATGCGTGATCATATAACTGTTTAAAAAAATCTGTTCAAAATCTTTTTTTCTGTTAACCAGCTGTCGAACCTCTACGAACGACAACCCTCAGAAGTCGAGCTGAGGATTAACGAGGTCTTACCTTTTAACGTATGATTCCTAACATGGGTTGGACGATAGCAAGTGAAAATAGATGGTTCAGACTAAGGCTTGCACCACCGACCAACACCGCAGTCAATTCGAGTGAGTGAACAAAGCACCCACGTCGAACCGCCTGGCTTCCGACCGACTCATTCATAAGTAGAACGAAAAATCATCTAAATAGTCAATATAAGGTTACCGAAGATCAGGACTTTTGAAGCTTTTTTCTTAACCATACCAATGAATGTAGTTTGCAGTCATTCAAATCCAAAATAATTGTTTTTCACTAGCGTAATTCACAAAATCATACTCGTAGATACGGCGTCTTTCCCGTCGGCTGTTTTCAACGACGGGGGAGCGGAGAGTCCATTTTGTACACGTTTTCTCGTTATAATATTATGTGATACGATTAATATCGTACAGTTTATTAAATAGTTTGGGACATTCAATAACATTATGAATGACACAAGAAGGATGATGATCGGATCACCAAAGATTGGCAAATTACTTTAGATATCCGAACCATTATTAAATTAGCAAGCTAGCAAATGTAATAGATACCACAATGATAGTATCCTTCGTATTAACTAATTAACAGCTCGAGAGAACGGACACCCGAAGTACAACTCCCACTCGAATGGTCATTTGGCGTTTCTACCTGGTTCGATGTGTTTCATGTGACGTTGTAGATCTCGAATTTTTCTCGGGAGCTACCGTCTGTCACTTGACATTTTATTAAATTGGCCGTTCGCCATTCACGTGTTCTTATGATAATGTACTCCATGAAGTTGTAATTTATAATGCTGCATGTTTTGATGGAATACGTTATGAAGTACTGGTATTAGCAGCAAATGTTCTACTTTATTTTGCTTTACAAAGTTAATGTTTTCAATTGGCGAATTCAATATTTTTGTCATTACATAATTAGATATTTATCACAAAACTGATTTTCATTCAATGAATTCTGTAAAAAAAACGCATTATTTCCCATCACATATTGGCACATTTATCCACAAACTTATTGTCGGAAGGAAAGTAAATACTTTCACATTATTTTCCTCAAATGAAAGAGGGCAGGGACGAAGTTCAGATTTAAGAGGCGCCAAATTAGATGTTTAGAATATTGTACTCTGATCGTGCACGTCGGCATGTGAAGTTTAAAAATAAACATTTTCAGTGCGTATTGTCTTGCACGAAAACAACTGTGGCGCCTATGGCGCTACACAGACGCCACAGATATATTTGCTTTGTTTTTTAAATGCTTTATATATGCCGAGAATTATAATTAACGTCTAGCTGGAGGTCGCTAACATTTTTGAGGTTTCGAGGCGACATAATCGTGTAATAAATACCATTGTGACTGGCGTCGGCGATATTGAGATGCGAAAAAAAAACTCTAAATACGCAGATGGAAGTTGATATATAGTTAAACGATTCATACCCGGATTATAGTGGTAGGTATTATGATACCCGAAAGATTTGAAAGAAAATATTCGTAATATTTCTTTTAGTTTCTATAATATTTTTTTACATTTGAATTGTGTTGAATCTGAATTTCAAACACTTCTGATGAAAAATATATTCCATAAATGCATGAACTAGTGATAAGTATAAATTCTCATTAAAAAACTGATCAAATATTGTCTTTTGTTTATTACTACAAGTTGTTCGACAATATTTCCTTGGACGACGTTGCAGTGTTGCCATATTGAATTGGAAAGAAAATTTGATATTCTAAGAGAGGTCTGAAAGTCCAAGTAAAACTTCAAGGTTCGTTTCCGGCTGAAACAAAACAGGTTTTCATCTGTTTTTTTTATTGTAAATACGGGTTCCAAAGAACTATACCTTCGATCCAAATTTCAAATCTCTCACCCCGGAAACAACTGAATGGCCCTTCGGTTTCTTGTTTCTCCCAGGTTTCCTAACCGCAAAAAGGTCTTCGATTTATACAAAGGTTTCAGACAAATCAACTGAACACTATTTTTTGTTCAACCATTATTTGACATAAAACTTTAAATTAACATAACTATTTCATTCATGATTCGATTGAAATAAATCATATACTAAGATGTTGAGCAAAGGGCCACAATATATTAGTGACAACCGCACCCAAATGTGTTAAGAATTTAGGCACACTTCAAAACCCAAGCGTTTTGTTCAATTTTCCATGACAAATCCTCTGAAAACTATTTTATATTTTCAAAAAATTCGGATGCTGTCAGAAATGTGAGATGAATATTTAGGACTGTAAGCATATGGATTTTCAAAAAATTAATCCATAAATTAAATATAGGACGGTAAAGTGCAAGAAAAAATAGATGGCTTAAATGAATTTCAAATATCTCAAGGACTTCAGCCTCAGAACCATCTTCAAACAATCGATTCCTGCAAACATACGCAGAAATGTAATACAGAAAATGTATTTTTCTGCATTTCATATACATTAAAACTGTTGCTCGATATACCCCCCATCCGCTCAAATACAGTCAAAGAGGCAAACATTCTAAAAATCATCTTTTTTGGTTCTATTGCCTCAACAATAGTTTTTTAAAATATATTCCATGTATATGAACAGCATTATGTACATTATTCCATGTATATGAACAGAATTAAATTACATTAACGTAGACCAATTATATTTTCGG